GGCGGCGGCCGTTTTCGTCCACCTGGGGCCCGCCTTGCTCACCCCTGGGGGTGGCCTCCCCGGCGGTGGCCTCTCCGTCCCGCGGGTCGCTTCAACGCCCCAGCGAGGACCCAGCAACCGCCCTGTCGAGGGCCTGCGGCTGCCGCGCCGTCGGGGAGAAGGGGAGCGGGGGGGCAGTGCGGGAGAGGGGAGGCGCGGATTCAAAAGCCCGTGGAGACAGGTCAACCCTGGGCGCGAAAACCACTGCACGCTTGAAGAACACATCCGCCGCGTTTGGAGGGAAGTCCACGAGACAATCGGGTCAACACCACCGTCCCTGCTTCAGTGGGAGGTCGATCGATGGCCTTGCACGGTTGGCCAAGACGGGTGGAAGCGGGGAGGGGAGAAGGGAAAGAGGCAAGGAGGGAAGGAGGGAGAGAGGGGAAGAGGGGACGGAAACAGGAGGAGAGAGGAGGAGGGTGGAGACAGGAGGAGAGAGGAGGCATGAGGAGAGAGGAGGGAGGAGAAGGAGGAGGACCTTTTGACCTTTCCTGGGCTGAATGCTGAATCCCTGCAGGCCAAGCGGAGACTGCACAGCACTGCGGAGCGCACGCGCTGAGCGCATCGGCCACGAAGAGCCGCGGCCGCGTCCGACACGGAGCCCTCTGGGCATCATCGGTGCCCGAATCTGGCATCCCACAGGCGGACAGCTTTTCCGCCACGTGCCCCATGCGAGCGCCAAGCGAAGTACGTGCGGCGAGCTCCGCGCCAGAGTTCGCGACGCTGCCCACGCCGAAGCCGCAGACCATCCGAGCGTACAGGTCCGTACCGACCTTCGCCCGTCGGCCACACGCAGGAGCGACCCTGGCCACGAATGACCTTTAGGTGCGCGGCCTTTGGGGGGCCGCGGGGGGACCAAACACGAGCGCGCCCGCTCTCGTCGATCGGAGGACACCTGTGGGCCCGCATCAAAGGTCACTGCCGCGAAGGGTTACTCGTACGTGCAGTCGAACCCTCAGAGCCCATGCTGACCCAACTTTGCGTTCATCGGCCGCCCGCCGCCGAACCTGGCCACGACATCTGCCTCAGACGTGCCCTCGCAAGAGCGCCCACGTGACGAGCTTGGTTGCAGCAGTCTCGCGCTGTCGCTCTAGTGCGGCTGTTGCAGTGGCGTCGCAGTCCTCGTTGTATTCCCGGTAGATGTGCCGAGCCCATCTGGTCCGTTCGCGGCGACGCTCGCTCTGCCCGTCCCCCACGCCATATGCAGACTACGCACGCTCGGGCTGATGCGGGCGCCAGCCGTGGATTCTTCTTCGTGTGCCAAACCCGTTGGGTCACTCGATCGTGCTTTTGCTGCCTCCCGCGGTGTGCACCCGCGTCGGCCACAGCAGGGCTGCAACGGCCTCAGGGGCGGCCTCAGGGGCGGTCGCTGGCGGGGCCTGGACGGCAGGCTGGGCGCACGGGGGAACTTGCCGAGGACACGGTCGCTGAGCAAGTCTCGACTGCCACAGGTCCCGTTCTTCACGCCAGCGCTGTAAGGGAAGCCCCCCCCCCCCACACCTTCAGAGCCCGCCTTCACGAACTCCCTCTGCCGTTCTGCCCAGACTGGTCGGGCAGCCTCCTCACGCCACCCAGGTCCTGCAGTACAGAAGTAAATGTCTTCCCACTGCGTCTTGAGCGCCCATCCTTTGCCGATGCTGCCTCAGGGTTTCCTCCTCCTGTGCATGGGCATAGTTACTGCGACTCGCCCGCTACCTTCTCCTCTTCTGCATCCTGTCCCGCGTCTGCTGCCAATGCTCCTCGGGGAACGCCCTGGTCGCAGAAGTCAAGAAATCGCACAGTCCACTCCCAACTTTTAGGGTCGTCTGGGGACGTCCGCCTGGTGACGGCGAGCGCCGCCATCTGGTGCTGGATCTGCAGGAGCCCCTCAATCACGAGCCTGCCTTCTCCTCTGACTAAGATCATTCTGGCCCGCGCCGCTCATCGCGGAACGAGCCCTTCGAGTCCCTCTCCGCCCCGTTGTGCCCACGCATCACGGCTGCACGGCGGAGCATGGAGCCTCCTGCCCCGTGGACGTGCTGAGCCGGCACCGTCGCCATGGCCCAGCCTTCGCACCCGCTCAACAGCACGGGCTGCACGTGCTGCTCCTAGGGCGGGACACGTCCGAACACGCATCAAGAGAAAATTCAACCTAAGCTACAAACACACTTGCAATAGCTCCATTGTCTGCAAGGGCTGGGTGAAGTTTGTTGCTTTTCACTGTGAAATGAGGTCGTCGGCGTATGGGCACAGGTCGTCTCTGTATCATTAACGACTTCAGCGAAGAATTCATTCTTGTACTTTCTTGATTATGATTTCTAAATACACATTTACCTTTTCCATTGCCTCCACCAGTTCGTCCCAGGGGGCCTTGTCTCCCCACCGCGCGCGCCGTGCAGCGGCAGTGCGAGTCTCCACACCTGGCGTGCTATCTCGCCTGTCTGCGTCAGCGCGCTGCCAAGCTGCGTGCCGGCGGGGGCCC